CGAATGATGACGACGAAGAGAAAGAGCAATGACGGGGGGAGGAGTGGTGTCCGGAGGCTGTTTCAGGATTTCTCGCCAAGTCGGCTGTTTTTACCACCGGAACTTCGACGGTAGCGTTCGAAGACAGTTTGTAAGGTTTTGCTGATGATCCGGATGGAGTTGACCAGTGTGGTGTAGTAGACATCGGGAACGTCAGATTTCCTCGACGGTGACCGCAGCGACATCTATAAACCACGCCAAGGCCGACCACAGCGCCACCTTTACGGATCCTGGGTGGTTTGCGGCCATTGCTATCCGAGGACGCCGAGAGAAAGCAGAGGGATGTTCGAGTGATACAAAGTGTCGACGATAAGGTCAGTTGATCACCAGCGTGTTTCATCCTCTACCCGCGCCCACTCGACCGAGCCGTCACTCCGCCCTCCTTCCCCGCAGACTTCGGCTTTGGTTTCGGTCAGCGACGTTACCAAGCCGGATCACGGGCCCGCCCTCACCACAGGCCTACGGCTACACCAAGTTCTAACATCCACCGCCCAACCGACCCCGCAACCTGCACTCGCTGCCACCACTACCAATCCTCGCCGCAGCGAGCAGCTCCTGCCATCTGGCGGCGTAGTCAGAGACCTCGGCCGCGACCCGCTGCCGCTAGGTGGCGGGCTCAACACGCTGTCACGTGACTCAGGCAGCGCGCGGCCGGCGGGGTCACGTGACCGCGCTGAAGACATTGAGGAAATCGTGAGGCGGACGGTGATGCCACAGGATCCGGAGAAGTTGTGTCGGTCGGCGGCCGACAATGGATTCTGCGACACTCAGGAGCAGTACCCCAGGTAGGTGGAGGCCCTGTGGGCAGCGGCTGATCCAGGGGTGGAGATCTGTCAAAATTTCAGGGGGGGGGGGGGGTCCAGGCCGGGCAGATGGATGCAGTGCCATTGACTTACATAGCAGAACTTCATTTTCAGGGGGAGGGTCCTGACCCCCCGACCCCCCCCCCCCAGATCTCCACCTCTGGGCTGATCTCTGGGACGCCGGTGAAAACAGGGCGCCGGAGGGCATATTAGTCACGTGACATTTGGAACTTCTCCCCCTCCGTGGGTCTTCTTCATGCTAAACGTCACGTGTGAATTTAACGAACCTTGATCAAATGGCCCCAGGCCCCAGGTTTTCACCGTCGTCCGATCTCTGGTGGGCGAGATGGCAGGCACACAGACGGATTGTCAGACTATCTTCACTGTTCACCATGACATTTCGGCTATGTCCAATATGCAGGAGGTATGCAATGCTCCTGCTTATTGCTCAATAGCGGGGGAGTAGACCGATTGAAAATGGAACCACCGCTTCGTCCTATTTGGAAACGTTATTGATCGGTTTTATTAGGCCTTCCGTGTAATTGTTATTGCGGTGTTTGGCATTTAAAATTTTTTCGCCTGCTTGTTCGTGACGTGACCTTTACGGAAAGCATGCCTTCTCAATATCGAATGGTCACGTAATGATATTCCATTTCTCTCTCTCTCTCTCTCTCTCTCTCTCTCTCTCTCTCTCTCTCTCTCTCTCTCTCTCTCTCTCTCTCTCTCTCTCTCTCTCTCTCTCTCTCTTTCTCTCTCTCTCTCTCTCTCTCTCTCTCCCTCTCTCCCTCTCACCTCTTCCCCATCTTTCTGCCCTCAGAGCCTATATGGAACGCGTCGTCGACCAATGCAGCACTATCCTAGAGTACCTCTTCTCAGAGGTGCCCGATGACGTCACGCAGCTCTCCAACACTCCACAACCTACCTCCGCCTCTGGCCGTCCGTGGTCATGGGCAGCGTACAACTATCGTCACCAGGATGTCTGTGACGCCACAACGCGTTTTGTGGAGCCCACGTACGCCAAAGCTACCGATGGGAGATGGTATGTCATCATACAACATCGTTCCCTGCGTCAGCGCGCCAGTGTGGGACTCTGTAATCAGCTGGATGGCTTCTGTAGAGCTGTCTCAGATTGTGGTACGAGATCGAGATGTGTGCAGACGTTCTATCACAGAACGCTGATTGCAGCGGATCCACTCCTGCCGACAAAGTGTCCAAGAATGAAGACGTTCAGGCTGCCTGCGGGATGTATGTGCCAGGTGGAGCTGGCAAAGGGACTGAGAACGCTGGACCACGCGGAGGAAGACAAGAGCTAGATAAGGGAAGAGAAGGGAAGAGAAACAAGAGGTAGAGGAACAAACGAAGATGATGCAAGGTGAAGAAGAGAGAAACGGAAGCTACATGGAGTGGATGAAAGGAGTGTCAATATGACGGCAAGAGAGAAAAGAGTGGAAGATAAAATGGACAAATGAAGTGGCAGGACGGAAATAAGTGCCAGAGTGCCAGGGACGAAGGTGAGGGAGACAATAGGAAAGAATTGAATGAGATTTATGTTACCTTGAACGAAAACCACATGTATGTAGCGGAGAGTTCTTGGTGCGGGCTCCACAGGAACAGTGTGAATAGAGGAGAATATAAACAACAGATTGAGTACTCGACGACCCAGCTGCCTGGATCAAGAAACTTCCAAATGACCAGACTAGCACTTGTCTCAAGCTTATTGACTGACACGTGATACGTGACTGAATCTGAGACCGTGTCTGTGACTGAATTCAGAGCTGTGTGTATTTCAGCGTTAAAGCTACGTTCAGTGCACTCGTATACAGTGGCTTTTTTCGTGTGGCTATTGAACATTCGTGTAGTACTGGACAATATTCAGTCAGTGGTCGTATGACGCATTATAACTATCACTCAGTGTCATACAGAGTGTTGCTTCATACCGAGTGCTGCCCCCTGCGGAGTGTCAGGAAGAGTGTCTTCTGCCGGAGTGTGACTGAGTGACGCGACACTGATGAAGTGAGTGGGATGGACATGGACAAGTCAAAATGGAGACGAGTGAGAATAAAGTGTGAGTGAATAATGGAACACAATAGTACAGGGTTTTCTGGCGTATACTCATGGGAGTGTCAACCGACACCCACTTGAGTGCCTAGATGTATCAAACCGTTACTCAGTGAAGTGACAATGTGTAACGGTTTGTGTCCGCGGCACTCGTGCAGTGAAAAGAATCAGTAACAGACACTAACGAAAAGGCACATGGCACTCACTCGACACAGAGCTGGTGCCGAACTGCGTCACAATTAGTGGAGCTGAGCCATTCATTGTGTGCCGTGCTGCGTCGTTTTGTGCTACACTGCGTCACAAAACGTCGAGATGCGCCAATGGGCCCACGGAACTCATCCCATTCATTACGCGTTAAGTGGCACACAAACTGAGCATTAACCCGCGCACCGACGGGGGGGCGGATATCCGCCCCCCCCCCTGAGGTTTTTCGCGAATAGCGGGAAAACTGCGTCGCGTAGCGCCGCGAAATTTGGTATGACTATAACCTCATCAATTTTACACATGGTGTGCAAGTTTGAACCTCCTACCTTTTAAGGTCAGGTCACCAGGCCACTTTGAATGACCCAACCTCAAGTCACTTTTTTGCAACTTTGTCACCGTGCCAGAGCTACAGTAGATGTCGGGGGCCTTTGAAAGTCGCAGCATATTATTAGGTCGTTAGTAGCTACAATTTGTATATCTCGGAATTTTGATATCGGTGACCTAAGGTCAGGTCAATTTCGCGACCTGCCCATTATAAGTCAATGGGGGAAAAATCAACTCCCTGTTTTTACCACTAAAACGGGTCGGAATGGCCCCATATACCATACATGACTTCATATACGATCAACCTTCACTACCTTGAGGTCTGTTTTGCTGTTGGGCAGCTGTGAGGTCATGTAACGTCATCAAAGGTCACCAAAGGTTTTTGGCCAATAACTCCGTACAGGAACAAGATACAGACGCGTGGATAGTCTCATTGTGTTCAGCTCGTCAAGACGCATCGAATGATATACATGATGACCTCGAGGTCACGTGACCTGAGGTCAACCTTTGACCTTTACCTTTCGAGGTCAACATATATATCATTCGATGCGGATTGACGAGAGGATCACGATGATGCCCTTAGTTTGTTCCTATCTTGACTAATTCGAAAGTTATTGGAGAAAAACTCTCTCCATATCTAGCGCCGCCATTTTGACTTTTTCGACCCCTGTGACGTCATCTTTGACCTGACCTGAAAATGACCTTTGTAAAAATTGTAGATCTTGGCCGTGCGTATCCGATGCCGTTTACCGCTTGTCGCTATCTTGCTTCGTTCTCGAGATCTCAGGGGGGGGGCGGTCATCCGCCCCCCCCCGTCGGTGCGAAGTTGGCGCAGACCCCCGTCGGTGCGCGGGTTAAGTTTGGTGTACATTTTTTAATGCGCCACATCAAGTGTCGATTTTGAATTGCCGCTGATATTTTTTGTTTAAATGTTTGTTTCTTTTCCGTCTGTTCATTTTTGCTTTCCGTTTTGATTCCGATGAGTAATTTTTACTGACTTTATCAACAAAAGGGGAGAAATATAAATCGAAAATTGCGAGTGTACTCCTGCATAGTGCATACTTTTTTAGTGATACCAATGTGACGTGCATCTGTTCTGTTCTTTTTCATAATTATCAATGCGTACCTTGCTAGGCGTACTGTAGAGTGTAGGGTCCAACGTTATCATATCACCATGTAAACTGTATCGGCTTTGGCAACTCTGGGCCCATGATAAGTTGTATCGATTGTTAAATTCTTCTCACGTATAGAAGTAAACCTGTTGTATGTTGCAACTTGCATCAATACCAGAATTAGCTGCTTTCATCGTGTGTGCTGACATTGCACAGCTCGCTGACAGCGATGTGTTCGATGTGGTGTTGATAACTTATCTATTGAGTTTTCGTCCGTAGTTGGATGCTGTTTTAAGTGCAGTGTTTTTGTCAACTTCTGCGTGGTAAAAGTGGTATACCACAGCTATTCACAATAGCAAACTGTTTACCATAAGTGTACCAAAACTAACTTTTGAGTGCTTGTAGTCAGCATTGCTTTGTTGTGCAGTTACTTGCGGTGACTTTGTTGCGTTATGCCAGTGCTTTTAAGAAAAATGAACCTGCAGTACACACTGTATGCTTACATAGAACATGCTTATGAATTGTGCGAACCGGGCTATTTATTGTAGAGGAATGTATCATTGGGCCAAGTTTCAATTAGGCGGTAGTCCTGTGAAATGCGCTGATGATTTGGAATAAACAGCATGCAATCAGTAAACGGACTTTTCACTACGTTTGCCGGAAGCATACCTACTACATATTCTACTAAGCTCAACGAACCATGTATGTCTATAGTCATTCTACTACATATAGATTGCCTAGTCGGTCAGGCATTCTACAGAAGTAGAATGTCTCATTCCACACATTGTCTGCAACATGCACATCCTAAAGTTAGCCAGTGCAACAATTAACGTTTTAGTTAAAGAAAGGGCTGAGTCATCACGGTAGCTCACGGCCTCGCCTCCAGCACGACCACAGTAAGACACGTTGACGTTGGCGAAAAAAGAAAACAAAAACATAACTAGCAGTGGTCGTAGACTCCAACGATACCTACTACAAATGTCAAAGGAGTTTCTGTTACATCTCGTATATAGGAAAAAGATGTTTGCAAAACATTTCAATTTCATACGGTGAAATAGTGCGATGCTGCCGTGCATTTACTTATTGAACAACAAGTTATTGGAAATGTTACACAGCATTAGGGTGCAAAAATGGGTGAGCCCCGCCAAATATTAACGCTATCACTCGCAGATCACGCAACTCATCACAATATCACTGACAATTGTATGATATACTTCCACCGTAACACAAAGGACAAATGAATTAATGGTATACCATTAATTCATTTGTCCTTTGTGTTACGGTCCTTTGTGTTACCTATAGGTACTAGCAGCTGATGAGTCATCGACCTGCCGGCTTCCTGTAACTAGACGCCGTGCTGTTCTTCAAGGTGTTCCAGTCAGGGCATACCCAGTAAAGATATCTCAACAGAGGGGCTCTGTCAGAGACAGCCGGGATTTTACCATTCTTTCTTTTATGTGTGTACAATTTAAATTGTATCGTTTTCCTCGCCTTCGTCGTAAATCTTGGTTAAAAAACGATAAAAGCTAAGTACATCTTAGGGGAATTAACTACGTAAACCCGTGCTCAACACTTTCTTATTTGTTTGGTGGGGAAAAGCAGCTCTGAGCTTCAGCTAGACGTTGAAGGAATAAGGATGTTTCCGTGTTTATTTTTACCTCGGTGCCTGCGAATCCACACTCCATACGGCTAAGTGCACTTGCACCACATTACACCTGGCAAAGTCACACAAATATATTCGGAAAAAAATATCCGATTGCTGGGATCACATCCGTCTTATCAAAAGAACCTTTCTGAGACGTACTCGGCGGGCTAGTAGAGACTGTCACGTGACCGGACCTAGGTAGATTGGATGCAGGTGGGGTGGGATCACGTGGCTGGCGCACACTTCTACCTGGATGCACGTGCTGCATCAAAGGCGGCGCATCTCTTCTCTGTTTATACATGACATTAGAGACATGATCAGAGGAATATACGCAGAGCAGGTGAAAGAAAAGCTGCGAGAAAAATCTGCGGAACGGAAGGCGCTGATAAGTCACGGATCTGGTGAGAAGTGAGAATAAGTCGAAGAACAATCTTGGCGATTCCTGTTCGTTTCTTAAGGCCTGGCTACACTACGCGTTTTATTCGTGCGTTTTTTGCGTGTTTGCGTGTTTTGCGTGATATCGTTCTAGAAAAAGGAACGATGTTACTTTTTTATGTTTTTCACCTTAAATTTTAGTTACATAAGAGTTATATTAGCTTTTGTATATAACCAAAGTAAAAATTATATTGTTTATAACTTTTTCCAAGAACGATATTACGCAAAACACGCAAACCTGCAAAAACGCACGCAGAAAACGCATAGTGTAGCCAGGCCTTTATGCGTTCGCTTGCAATGTGAACAGATGCCCGTCTCACTCTCCGAGGAAACAGACTCTATATTTGAACTACGCACTTCGCTTTTTAGGTATATAGGGCCTTGTTTTTTTTAACCCTCGCCCTGGCAGGGCATTTTTCATAACACGGCCTGGCAGGGGGGGGGGGGTCGATGCGACCCCCCCCCCTCGCGATTGGCTCCTATGGCACCTAGAAACACCAAATTTGGTAGGTAGGTGGGCCCCCTGGAGTTCTCGCCCCTGTGCAAATTTGGTTGCTCTAGGTCAATATTTAGGGGGGTTTTGGGGGGGTATAAATGCAAAAATTTCGCTAAAAACAGGTCAAAAGTTTTTCGCTTATAACTTTTCATCTAATTAGGATAGAGCAAAAAGAAAAGCACCAGTGAACTCAGCACGTCAAGGCGCGTCGAATGATATACTTTTTAGCTTGCTTAAGTGTACTTAAAGTTTTTCTTAAATTTTAAGTAAACTTAAATTAATAAATTAAGTTAAAGTTAACCAAATTGCATCATATCGCATATCATTCGATTCGGCTGATCACCAGGAACACAATGATACCATTTTTTAAGCTCTAGCGTCATTATGTGCCAAGTTATTGGCAAAAACGTCATTTGACCTCAGTTGACCTCATTTGACCTGACCCATGGATAAGTACACCAAACAAAGAAGCACCAAGTGACCCGCTGTTAAGTACTGTGGTTTCAAAGCACAAAAGTGATAGAACGAAGCGGATATCTCCAGTATTTTCCGAATTTAGTATTTTCCCATAGGCTTAACATTACGACGTAATGACCTCTAACTGACCTCAGGTCAGTGACCTCAAAAAACCCGAACTATATGTTATATAACTCGGTGAGCTTAGCACATCCTGAAAGTTTGAAGGAAATCAGTGCAAAACTGTGAGTTGGACAGGTGCAAAAAGAAAATTGAAATTTGACCATGACCTTGTACCGGTTTTTCTGACCTGGTGACCTGACCCAAGGTCACCCGGACCTGACATTTTCAGGTCATATGTAAAAAGGTTGACCCATAGGCTGTGCCAAATTTGGCGGCGCTGCGCGCCGCCGTTTTTACGCTATCTTCGAAAAACCTTAGGGGGGGTCGCATCGACCCCCCCCCCCTGCCAGGGCGAGGGTTAAGTTTTGAAGAGCTTACCTTTTCTTGTTTCGGCTAGTATTATGGATGACAGTGGTAGCACTCTGCTTATCAGCTCCAAACCCTGTCGCCGTACTTCAATAATATATTGACTTTGAACCCATCAGTAAATGCCGCCAGACACTGGAGGAACATTGCTGACACGGGACAGCTCTGCACTGCGAGGTCGACTGTTTACAACTGATGGGCGCGGAGTCCATTCGGTACCGTGCTGGGAGATGATAATGTTGCGCCTGGAACCCCGCCAGGTTTTCAGAAACATCAA